AGAGAGAGAGAGAGAGAGAGAGAGAGAGAGAGAGAGAGAGAGAGAGAGAGGGGGGGGGGGGGGGGGGAGGGGGGGGGGGGAGGGAGAGAGAGAGAGAGAGGGAGAGAGAGAGAGAGAGAGAGAGAGAGAGAGGGGGGGGGGGAGAGAGAGAGAGAGAGAGAGAGAGAGAGAGAGAGAGAGAGAGAGAGAGAGAGAGAGAGAGAGGGAGAGAGAGGGAGAGAGAGGGAGAGAGAGGGAGAGAGGGAGGGAGGGAGGGAGGGAGAGAGAGAGAGAGAGAGAGAGAGAGAGAAAGAGAGAGAGAGAGAGAGAGAGAGAGAGAGAGAGAGAGAGAGAGAGAGAGAGAGAGAGAGAGAGAGAGAGAAAGAGAGAGACAGACAGACAGACAGACAAACAGAGAGATGTCACTGATTACAAAGAAAAGATACTCATCACAAACATGTAGTATGGTAACTATACTGCACATAATCACATGAAGTGTTGGTGTATCTCTATATTCAAGTAAGATTATATTTACATGTTTATCTATACTGTAAAACAAATAAATGTAAACAAAAAAATACTTTATATAAAGACACTGAGCTTAAGAAATATAAGAAAAAAACATGCATCGAGACGTTTATGCTTTTTGAATACATTAATGTAATTCAAACCCATTAAGATACATTAAAACCTTCTACAAATGTATGCTATTTATACACAACTATACTATTTAAACCCATTAAGAAACCAAGTATCTATTGATTTATGCTATTTAAACCCAGTACGATACTTCTTGGCTGACACACTCTACGGTCATCGCCCGCCATATTTCGCATATTCTCCATTTGAATCAAAGCTCAGGGGTAATTTTCTGCGATTCATAGAGTGCTCTCCAGGTTCTGACCACTCTAGCTAAAGGTGCAGGAAATATTGCAAATGACATCAGCATAAACGTGTATCGTGCAAAAGAACAAGGCCATGATATACGTTTTGTGTGAATTCCATCGCATGTTGGAATCCCAAGGCATGATCATGCTGATCGCCCAGCAGAGTCAGCACGTGATATAAATCTCGGGGTAACTCTTTCTAGTTTTTTATACATCATCAAAGAATCCTTCAAAGAGGCCTTGAATGAGTTGATTCATTCTCCACTCACTGAAAGCTGTAGCATAAACCACTATGACCGGTTTACGCTAGATTCATCCATCTATGATTTACATAAAATAAGAACAAGTCAGTACAGTTTGTAATATCGAAGAAACTGAGTGTAAACCGTGTAATGAAGAATATAAGCGAACACTTGTACACTATATCTCAGAGTGCCATGTGTTACAGCCTTTAAGACCACCTAGCATGAGGTACGGAGAACTATGCAACCACTTCATATCATCTGATATCTTAGTCTATATACTTATGTCGTATCCTAAATCTGGAATATAGTATCATATGACCGCATATTTACCAATGCCTTTCCACGCCCAATCTCTACGCCGGCGTGGCAGATGAGTAGATCAAGGACTGTGCAACTGTTCATTTCTTTTAACTGATATAGTACTCATCACAATAACATTATAGCATAAAATTCAAATGTAATACCATTATATATTGACCATGCATCAAATGTACCACAGCTTGCTCACGTCTGTGCAGTTAGCCAGGGTGGTAAATAAAGCAGTAAACTAAACTAATCTCTAATGATCTCTACTCCTTGTCGATCGATTAGTAAGGTCAGCGCAAAGCAAGGACACTGGTTTTGGAATACCTCTTGGCAGAACCTCCTACAAGGCTACGCTAGTCTGGTATAATAAATTCTCAAAAAAACAACAACATAAGAGCTACTGCATTAAACAGCCCCATCCGTTTTCATTGTAGAATTCGTGCAAGGAAAAATACTAGACAATTTTTCCCTTCTTTTTCTTAATGACGCAAGATATAGGTTTGGACACAAAATATTTTAGGCAGGTCGGCGAAACAAGCAACATGGCAGAAACTAAGCACACATTTTGCACAGACGAAAACAAGCAAATATCTCTCTCATAGTACCAAGTCACAACAAAAACCCTACGATGTCATAAAGGCCATTCATACCACCAAAAATAACCTATAATGACTCCTATCATCATACATATTTTACCATTTATCAACCGTGTCACAAGCTGGGGACTTAATCATTATTATTATTATTATCATCATCATCATTATTATCATTACTATCATTATCACCATTCATCACCTGTGTATTTATGACGGTGGTAAATAAAGGTCCAGATTAGAAGCCATTATTTTATTTATTCTTCTCTTAAAAGCTCCACTACCAACGGCGGAAGAGAAAATGAAAGCAAATAACGGTCTATAATATAACAGATAAAAATGTCTTAAACAATATGCAAATAAGTCTATACCACCATGAAATTATTATCATTATTATTATCATTATAATTAATGTTGTTAACGTTATCATTATCATTATTATCACTGATATTAGTATGACTATTATCGGTATCATTATTATCATTATCATCATTATTATTATTATTATTATATTTACTACTATCATCATCATTACCATTATCATTATTAAAACTATTACATTATTATTATCATTATCATGACTAGAATTATCATTATGCTGATAATGATAATAACGATGACGATAATATTATGATAATAATAGCAGTACTATTACTAGTACTCTCATTACTATCATTGTTATAACTATTCTAATGATAACGAAGAGAACACCACAAAATACAAA